TCCTTTAAAGAAGGTAGCTGAGCAGATGGTACTAGAAACAGATGACACAGTTAAAAAAAAAAAACAAGAAAAAAAAAACAGGGTACAGTTTGTTAGAAGCTTGCTTTTTGTTTTCTTTCTTCTTTTTTTTAATCTATTACAAAGGAAAAACACTGGCAAAATTTCCTGCTCCATATAAATTGACAGATTCCTCAGGCAGCTCCCATGAGAGAGAATGAAGCCCGGTGTGTGTGAGTTGGTCCTTAAATATTTCTTCAAGCTTGTTTCCCCGTCTGTGTTAATAACCAAGTTTCATGGGGGTAGAATGTACCCAGGCTCCCTTGAGCCAGACTATTTATCATGGCAGCAGCTGGAGATAAGCTGGACACAAAGAGGATTTGTGTCTCAGGAGGGTCGGTCCTTGGATACAGAAAGCAGAGGAATTTTCTCATTAGTAGGAAGTTAGTGGTGGGCACTCAGGGCTTTCATCACATGCCCCCAGAGAAAATGGAAACAGGGAGAAGGGCATCCTAGAGGGGTAAAGTGCTCCATGATGCTTTCACTGGACAACTTGAAGCTTCCAGAGTGGACTTCCTTGGGAGATGAAAGACATTAAATGCCATGTGCACTTATGAAGTTTTCCAGGGGAGGTAAGAAGTTCATTTACTATTAGTTCCCACCAATGACACTGCAGTGCCCTGGACAACATTTACCTCATGGTAGACAGGGGCTTGGATAAACTGTTTGAATAAATGCATCTTTGTTTCCCAGCTTCTAGACCAGCTTAGAGCATAGCACTGACAACATTTTTTTGTTGTTGCTGGTACTAGGGCAAAAAACAAAAACCCCTGAGCCACATCCCCAGTCTTATTTCATATTTTATTTAGAGATAGGGTCTCACTGAGTTGCTTAGCACCTCACTATTGCTGAGGCTGGCTTTGAACTGACTATCCTCCTGCCTTAGCCTCCTGAGCCTCTGGGATTACAGGCAGGCACCGCAAGCACCCGGCATATTCACATTTATTTTTATACTTAAAATTTTCCTTTAAATATTATTTTTTTCCCTAATTATGCATATGTGACCTTAGCCGAAAATAACTTTCCATAATGGAGGGAAAGGAAGGCATACTAAAAGTACATTCCACACCTGAGTGAACATAGAAGTAAATCCCAAAAACCTCTAAGAAACAAGGCATAGGAGTAGAATTGGATGCAGAAAGACCAGGTACAGTCTTTATGCTACAGACACTCCTGACAAGGAGCTAGGGGACCCCCCCTTTAGGCTGAACTGTAGGATTCAACTCATAGCAATGTCATGGCAGAAAATGAGATGGCAGGGCAGAAATGCCCATCTTTTTGTCTTTGGAAATATCTGTGGCTTCTGCGAACAGACTAAAACCCCTTTCTACTCCTGCTTCTTTTCCACTTTCTTCCTGGCCAGTTCTCCAGTGTGAAGTCTCTGGGTCCTTGGATCTGACACAGGCTGAGGTGTGGAGATGAAATGAAGGGGCTTAGACCAGCTCTTGTCCAAGCCACATTCTCTCCATAGGGCAACACCAAGGCAGTCCCAGTCCAGAGGACCCTCCAGAGCAATTTCCTGAAGTGCCTAAGATCACAGCTCTGGATATTTTGCTGACATTTACTGATGACTCTTTTTGAGAATGTACACACACACACACACACACACACACTTCAGCCAATTCTTGGTTGGAAGTAGGGTGTGGACCCCAGATTGAGAACCAGTGACCTAGAGAATGATCTTATGGTCATTTGCATTTCTTTCCAGCTTCCTCTCAAGGAGAGACTTACCCATATGCATCATGCAGATGCCCTGGAAGCAGTCATGTGTCTAGACATTCATAGTAGCCAGCCAGTCATGGACACAGATGATGGCATATCCTGAGAAATTGTCCCGCCCAAGGGTCTCAGGTTGGAGGTTCATCAGTAGACGCCATCTTCCCCACATTTCTGTATTCCTTACTCTTTCAGTCTCATAAAACAAAGTGCCAATGTTCTCCACCTGACTAGTCGGCTTCCTGGAACCCACTACTCCCCATTAGTCAAGAGGCAAAAAACAAAGCCAGCAAACCAAACTGAATTCTTTTATTGTGCAATTTCCTTCTACCAGAAAAATCTCTAAAAATATAAATATGAACTCTCTAAAAATACTCAGAATAGATCTATAATCTTCTTCCTCTTCCAAACTAGGGCCAAACTTTTTTTCAAAGCTGATGGGCTATGAACATATGTCTTCATGTCGCCTACATACATAATATTCAGAGATGTTTCTCTTTGTGCAGGAGGGGAACACCATCCTGCCAGGTTTGGGAAGCTCATTTGTGATCAGGATGAAGTTATAAACAGAACTGGGGAGAAACTTCCTTTTGCAAATGTAGAAGATAGCCCTTCATTCCTCCCCAGTACCTTGCCCTCACAGGGTGGACTGGGCTGCCCTATGCCAAGCTCCACTGGACTCATGAGGAGCGATTTATGGTAGTGGGGCTGCCATGCTATAATCCAGGAAGGTGAGACTGGAGATGGACAGGAAACCAGAAGGGGCTTTGGCTGGAAGAGTTGGCCAGAGAAAAAACCCTCAGCAGGATTAGTAGTAAGTTGCTCCTACTGGTTCTAGATAACACCTAGCCTGGAGCAACCATGTCTAAGACAAGGTTCAATCTTCGAGGGCCTCCTAGGTAGCAGTGTCACCCCTAGAGCAGGGGAATGGCTGAGCTGTAGGCAGCCAGAGATTGGCACAGGGTCCCATGGCACCTTACTCAGTATCAGACATAAATCTGAAGAAGCCTGGAGTCATCCTGTGATGGTCCTGGGACAACCTGGTGGGATCCCTTCGCTAATCCTGGGTCTGAGGGCCAGGACTCCAGCAGCAGCTGGAGTGGAGACAAGTACTTAAGCAAGAGGGGGCTGGAACTGTTTGTACTCCAGTTACCACATTACTTGATCCCTGGAGGGCAGCAGCCTCAGACTGCAGGCACTTGCTGAGTTTCCTGTCAGAGGGGCAAACCAAGCTTCCGGTACAGAGAGCTCAGATGAAACTGGGCTTACTCCCTGGTGGGTGTTTAGAGTCTCTGCCCCCATGTTCCCGGTTCTGTTTTGGTTGATGTTATGAACCATTTTAGGAAAACTCACAGGACACCAAATGCTAGTCCTGAGGATTTCTGACTTCCAAGGTGTTCTTAGGGTAAGGCAGGGCAGGGCCTTCATGTGTGCTAACAGCCCTGCTCACTCCACCGCGTCCTTGCAGGCACTCAGCTGCACAGGACCCTCATAAGCAGGGAAGGAAAAGGACTTTGCAGGGAGTATGTTGCAAAACCTTGCTTTCCGGGGCAAAAGAAGGCAGAAGAGAAGGGTGTGAGAGGGTGGAGGCAAGGCTGTACAATTGTAGAAACAAGAATGTGCCCACATGCCGGCAATCCCACTGAAGCTTCCAGTTCTGTAGGAGTTAACGTGGATGTATTATATGGTGGTAGGAAGAGGAGCAGAGGCTTGGTGATAATCAACTGGGAAGCCAGGCCTAGGCATCCCAGAGCTCATGGGTGAGAAGCCAAACACTGAAAGGAAAAGGGAAGGGCACAGGAATGATAGGAAGAAGAAGCCTGAGGCACAGCCTGCCCTGGCTGGACCTACCATTCCCATTCTTCTCTTTAGATACCTGTTGCCTTGTTAAAAAACAAAAAAAGAGAGAGAAAGAGAGATGTTATCTTCTTGCTGCAAAGACCCCAAGATTGAGCCCGCTGCAGGGTCTCCTGGCCCTTGGAAGACAGTACAATAGGTCCCCTGGTGGGAGACAGGAATACAAAAGTGGGTTAACCCAGGAGGATAGGAACAAGTGAAGGTTTGAGGATACTTATCTGTTCCTTAGGCGGATCCAGAAGGAGGGAGCAGAGGACCACCCCTGGCATCAGGATAGAACTAGGGAAGGGCAGGACAGAGGCCCCTCCAGGGAGGCCTGGTGCTGCAGGAGACTCAGGCAACTTCAAAAGCACAAAGCACCTTGGGTTTATTAGGAGGTGTGCCTCCACAGTTTGGATCGCATCCCAGTCTCTCACATGCTTCTCCCTGGCTCTCACACTTACTGAGACCCTGGCACTGCTTCATTCTAGGCTGTGGGGTGACCCTGAAAAATTGCTCTGATCCCCAACCACACTCTTCTCTATCTTGGCTTCACTCCCTTATCTACACCTCTGCTCTCCTCTCTAGTAGGACCACCCTTACTCTCCTGGGTTCTCCTCTCAAACCAAAATCAAAACATGCTCTGCTGCTTCTTCTTCTGAGGCCTGCCTAGCCCTGTCTTCACACACATAGCAAAGGAAGCCTGGCTGTTATTTCTGTGCAGGAAGCCCCAGCATTTTCCCAGGTGCCTAAAGGATGGGAAAAACCTTGAGAACCCTGAGTGATAGGTTAAGCACCCCCTCTGGCCCCCTGGGACAGAGGAAAGATACCAGGTGCCCCGCACTCTCTTGGAACCAGGAGGAACCGTGGCTGGGCTACGGTCAGGTTGTGTGGCTTTCTAGGACAGGCCCCATCATCAAGCCAACCCCATCATTCCTCATCCAGCCTTGTTGCCCCCTGAGATAGGATCTCTGGGCCATGATGGAGGAGAGAGAGGAACCAGGGCTTGGGTGAGGAAGAGCAGGCAGCATATGGGAGACAGACAAAGAAAAGTCCTGCAAGATCCATCACCCTGAGCTGGTAGCCCTATCATTCAGTAGGAAGCTGGAACAAACTTGTGGGTGAAAGAGATCTAGTACCCCTGGGCTACAATCAACACCCAGAGGAGCTTACAGAAATTAGGATCAAGGATGGCACCTGAGTCCTTTTGCCATTCTGCAGATAGACTCTTCAACTAGAATTACCTGTGGACTTTTAACCCTGCAACATCTTGTGTGGAAATCAGCTTTCTGCAGGTGCCTTGTACAAGGAAGACCAAAGGGCATGGTAGAGCTAGGGCCAGGGCCCCCTGTGCACAGTGGAAGAGAAAGCAGAGGGAAGAGGGGTGCTTGGCAGGGAAGATCACAGGCTACTCAAAGGACAGCAGGTCTGGGTGAGGGCCCTCATTGTCAAGGCTGGAGGTCCGTGCCCGAGGAGGGGGGCTACTGTCCTCCCAGGACTCGGCCAGGCTGATGGGGCTCAAGCTGAGTTTGAGGCCATTCCTCTCAACGAGGCCTGGGGAGGAGGCTCTTCTGTGCTCAGATGCCTTTAACTTAGATTCATCCTGGCTGTCCTTGTGAATTAGGTCAGGAACCGATAGGGAAACTTCACCATTGGGCAGAACCTCGTCCCTATCTTCCATGGTGGCCTCCAGCTGTGAAGCATCTGCTGGGACAGGTTGGACAGTGAGAGGGGAGTCCTGGGGCTGCCCAGGTGACAGCTCTGTCCCATACTCCAGACTACTTAGGACGGGCTGTGATGATATCAGCATGTCCTGGGTGGTCTTCAGGGCCCTAGGGGTTCGCTTCCTGGTTATGGGAGGTGGAGGATCCAGGCGAGGGAAGTCCTCAGGGACTGATCTGTAAGATTGATAACAGTAAACATGCATGCTTTACAAATGGTGAGATACCAGTCCACCCCATCCTCACATCCCTAACTCCAACTTCACCTTCAACTCAGCCACATGGGTGAGTTCATCCCTTGGGCGAATAAGTGCTTCACCCCCTGGGCTCCAATTCTGGGTTCAGGGTGCAGGTCTTAGCAATTTCAACACAACAATGAGCTTTTGGCCTGTTTTATCCTTATCCAGTGTTCAGAGCAGCACAAAAACCTATACAATAAGCCCCATAAGGGTTGCATCACTACTTCAGAAGCAGCCATTTTTAAAACAAGGCCTGGGTGGGTGTGATGGTTCACGTCTATAATGTTATCTACTTGAGAAGCTGAGGCAAGAGGATGGCAAGTTTGAGGCTAGCCTGAGTAATGCAGTGAGACCCTGTCTCAAAATAAAACATAAAAAGCACTGGGGATGTAGCTCATTAGGAAGAGTACCTCTGGGTTCAGTACCCAGTAAGAAATATTAATAAATAATAAACAAATGAATCAATGTAAAACAAGACCCGAGAGGACCTCTTGGTTAGAAGTGGAAGAATGGGAGTGCCACGGGGGGCTTCTCCTTTCCTGTGGTTCTCAGGCATCAGAATCCATCTGGGAAGGTGCTGGGTAATACTTGGGTTCAAATCTACCTCTGCCAGGTACTAACTAACCAGCTACTCACTTGACCATTCTGAACTCAAGTCATTGGCAAAACGAAAACCTAACCTACCTCCCTGAGTTCTGTGAGGGTTAGATAGAATGATGCTGTAAAGTATGCATATTTAGTGCTTGAGGACACCATGGCTGCTCAATAAGCATTCCTATACGCGCGGAGGTAGAGGCCAGTTCCCATGAACGTGGCCCAGTCCTGCTTTTGACAATTTCATATCCCTTCCTCAGTGCTGTTCTCCCCTGACACACTGCAGTCTGTCCTTGTCCCTACCCATTCAAGTGGAATACGGGGCAGGTGGAGGGACTCACCTTTCATCCTCTAGCCAGGCCCCTGATGTCCCATCAGCCCCACCAGCCAGCTGAGCCCCCGCAGTCTTGTTGATCTCCATCACACCCACACTGCTGAGGCTTGAGGGCTCCTTTCTCCTCAGGAGGTCGTTGACTTTGGCCCCCATGGCTTTGCCTAGGTTCTTGAGGTGCTGGCTGCTCCCCACCCTCACTCCTGGCCCACCAGGCTCTGAAGAGCCAAGGGTGGCAGAGCTGGGGGCCACAGGTCTGGACAGGTGGGGGAAGGAACGGCTCGACTGGAGCTTCGGAGTGAGGGCTGTGTTCAAATTCTCAAACATGCTGTGGTCAACTATGAACAAAGAGGGGAGAAAGAAATTGATGAGTAGACGCGAGCAGGACCATACCGCTGGGCTTTTACCTGTTTTATACCAGGCCCCAAACTTGTAACTCCATAAGGCTTCAGCAACATTCAAGAAATAGCCAGCAAAGATGCTCTTGGACTTTCCAGTACAGTTTTCTTGATGGGACCTAGGACCAGAAATTCCAGTTCTGTCCTACCCAAGTTAATCAGTGACTCATTAGCCATAAAAAGGCAAACATTCCTTTAAATAAATCTCTTTGACTCAAGGCTTGATCCCTCTACCTTGGGGGTCACCAGGCCCTTTGAAGTGAACAAAAAATGAGAATGAAGCAACAAAATGTGACATGTTTACGTTGCCACAAACACATGCTGAGCTCTCTGACTCAGGTGCTGGGACAGAAGCCGGTGGAGGGATGGCAAGTACGAGGCTTGGTGCTGGATGTTCCCTTCTGAAAGCCACATGTTTAGCACATTTTCTCCACGGAAAATGGGCCAGCAGTTCCTTAGGTCTTGGAAGACTAGGTCAGCTCCTGAGCAGAGAGGTCAAGTAGTGGATCAGAACCAGCTCACACCAAAGGGACAGGTACTCAGTGGCAGTGAAGCTCAAGGATCCTTACAAACCCCACCTCAATTCTCACAACGTAATGTGGGGAACATGGGAAGATATCTATTTATAAATGAGGGAGGGGTTCAGTTCATAATGAACTGCAGGGCCCAAGATTACAATGCTAGCTGATGGTTAGTCTGAAACTAGAACTTGTAACTCAGAGCTCAGGGCTCTTTCTCCTGCCTTGGAACATGGAACAGCTGCCTACATATACCCAGTAGATGGCCCTTCTCTTGGGGATCTCCCTTTGGCTTGAACAATGAACTAGAAGGACTGGGTATAGACCCACTGCATTGTGAACTTTTGCAGGGCAGAGGCCATGCAGCATCCATCTTTCTCTTCAATGCCTAGACTGGGTCTAGTACGTAGTTTGTACTCAATAAATATTTTTGAATTGAATTTCTTATATTTTATAGATGGAGAATTTGGAAGGCCAAATGGTAGCCCCAAGGTTTGTTGCTGAAAGGGCTGGACCTTCAGGCTCTAGGCCAGGCTATCCATACACTGGCACTTAGGCATCCTCTCCATACCTCAAAAAAACCACCTCAGTAGGAAAGGCAGCCAGACCCACTCTGGAGCCCTGAAATTGGACCTGAGTGGTCCATATCAACTGCCCCAGATATTTTGTCAGTCTGGGAGAACAGGTTCCATTTGCTCCAAAGGCTACTCTCCTTGTTAACACCTCCACGGAGCCTTTCCTGATAATAACTGAGGTTTGAGTGTATAGTTTTGCTTCTGTTGGATATTGGCTTAAAGCAGTTCTCTCTCTGCCTGTGTACTACTGAGTCTTGGGTCAGGGGGAACATTTCTCTTTCTTGAGGTTTCAGCAGGGCAAACTATCTGGATAAGCCATATTCTAAGGGACTTTGGGTGGCAGGGAGAAAGCCATGGGAAGAGGGGTGGAGACCTTTCCCTGAGGATGTGAGCCTCATGGTCTTCGCCTCTGTAACTGCCCTTGACGTACGTGCAAGTGAAAGCACCGTTGTGGGTAGGGGACATGCCAGGGAACTTGGATTATGGCATCCCTGGGATGGGGGGCCCAAGCTATCTGTGTACCTGCCACAGCAGCAGGAATACCCACTCACCCCACAACAAGCTGGGCCCTTGACTCCTGGTTACAGAGAATAATCACAATTCACCTATCATGCCTCAAATCCCTCTCATTTCCCTTACTCATGTTCTCTGCCAAGTAGCAAGGATTATTTGGAAACTAAACAATTTATTGTCTTCCAAACCAGAAAGTATATGGGTCACTATGGAATCATAACAAAATGCTTCAGTGGAACACACTGGGAAAAGTAAGCCCTCCACCATTTCCAGGATCAGAACTTTCTGTGGTGGTTTCCTTTTGGTTTAAAATAAATTCCAGAGAAGACACATTCATTTTTTTTTAAGTATGAAAACCTCCTGTCAGAGTGATTTGTAAACTATGAATTATGAGTAAAGTATGTATAAATTACTATTATTATTTTAAAAACATATCTCTTTATAACAAGCAAATAACTTTTTGATTAGGCACCATTTAGATACCCTTTCTTGTTCTCTACCCTTCAAAATCTAGTCTACAAAAAAAAAAAAAACTGAATTCCTAAGTGATTTAAAAATAACCTGTCATAGACTCTCTTTACAATTGTCTAAATCTTTCTGGTAAATATACCTGTCTTTAAAATAAAATGGTAAGTTCTTTGTGGGGCTATGGTATCTTTAGCACTTTTCATTTTCTGCAATGCCTGGCTTAGGGCCTTGTGTGATAGTAGGCATTTAATGGTAGTTTAATTGATGTTGATTTTTAAATTAATTCTTAAAAACCAAGTGCATGATGAGCTGACAGTACATGAAAACTGCTCATAAGTCTGTTTCCACTTATAAAAACCACCCAGAAACTCCTCTATAAAGTCATTGTGAGGGTTCTTGAAGTCAGACCAGGAAAAACTGTCCTTCTTTCCAAGTGAGCTTGCCTGGGGCCTCCATCTCCACAACTGAGGGATGTGCAATCAGCCTCTTTTCTGCTGATGACTCTAATGACCCCTGCACTCTGTCTCTCCTGCCTCAGGACAAGAGGTTTGGTGATCCTGAAAATAATGGTGATGGAAGGAAGAGACAATAGAATCCCAGCTGGTGGCCCTCCCAATAGCAACCCCCAACATGCATATACCCAAGCCGAGGAGGGCATCTGGGGACATAAGTCATCCACAAGAAAGGGAGTATCTTACCTGTCCGAGAAAGGGGCTCGGAAAGCAGGTGGGAAACAAATGAGAGAAAGACACATTTTATGTAGTGACCAGCTACTTTGAGAGTGTCACCTGCTGTATGGGTCACCATCAACAGCACATGCAAGACAGAGGACCTGCTACTAGCAGTGTAATAAACCCTAAATGACCACATTCCCACAAATACTTTAATAACTAAGCCAAAACAGAGCCGTATTTTAAAAACTCTACCACCAGCACTGAGGTATTTAGCTTCCCAAGTTTCCCCCCCCCAATATTTTGAGCACCCTTTACATTAAGTATATCTCCAGTTCCTAATTGATAGTGAGAGAAATGTGATTGTCTAAGGCAGAAAGAAATTCTAAGTCCCCTGGGTGTGAAACACATCATTCACATGATGCTATTTACATTTATTTACACGTATGTAAATTGCTAGACTTTAGCCAGAGACATTCATCCACTTCAACTCAGAGTCTAAATTAATAAAATGGAAAAGTCAAGCAGCAGTGCATTTGTACACTATCACCCGGAGGGGATTATAAGTCAAGTATACCAATTTATAAACTCATGATCTTGCTCTACACCATGATGGCCCAAGTGAAATTGCTAAGTGTCTCAAAAATGCCAAAATACTCAACTTTAATTTGTATCCCAATGTGTTCTAAAATTCCAAATCAGGCCAGGAGGAAAAAAACATTAAAGAAAACCAGGTTCTCCCACTGCCCTTCAAATGTTTCAAGATGGAAAAACCACTCCGGGCTCCATGCAGAAGTTGAAGGTACTATGTTCCTTCATAGGCCACACCACTGTGACAGGAGCTGATTTAAAGCACAGCTAAGTAGCTAGTGGACAGGTTGTGACACTATGGAATGGGGTAACTTCAGCTTATCTTCAAGGTCTCATAGTCATCTTTCATGCTTACTCCACATCCCACCAGTACACAAAGTTATTAAATGATAAATCAAAGCAGAGAGAAGAGGCAGCCCTGCCTCCTTGGAACCTATAGTCTCACCAGCAAATTGGCTTAAAACAATGAACAAAATGGTGTCCATTTGTGTTTTAGTCACATTCAGAAAAGAGCACCAACCATTGAAAATAATGTCTAATAGCTATTCTTTGGAAAAAATACATTAAAGTATTTAGGTATAAAAGGACATAATGTCCACAACTTACCTTCAAATACTCCAGGAAAAAAAAAATTATGTGTACACATACATATGTAGGGAGGGGAAGAAGAGGGAGGGAAAAGATAAACCAAATAGGGCCAAATGTTCCAAGAGAAAAATCTATAGAGAGGGTCTATAGATGCTCTTTATATCAATTTTGACTTTGAAAATTATATAAATTTGAAGTTATTTCAAAAAAAAATTAAATATATACCTCAAACCAAAACAAATGAACAACCCAATAAATAAAATGGAGACCCAAAAAACCAGAAACTAAAACAAAAAGATAAAAGAACAAACAAAAATATTCAGTGGCAAATAAAGGAGAAGAAAAGCAAGACAGTTATTCAGAAAGAACAAAGGTTCCCAGAGCTGGGGAGTGTAGCAAAATCAACAGAGAAAAGGGACAATAGTAAAGAACAAAGGGGACAGACAGACAACATCATTATGATATCTCCACTGTATTCTTCCTTCTCTCTGGGTATTCTCAGCCAGGGCAAGGCACAGAGAAATGACAAGTCAAAAAAATATTTAGCAATTAAAAGGAAAAAGAAAAAAGAATCTCGCTTACAATAGACTGCATCCACCTTTCAGAAGTATAACCTAGCTGCTGAATGGAATCATGTGACCTTGTGATGTCAACTGTGCTCAGAATGTTTATCGTCTGGACAACCTGGCCAGCCTCTTGGGAGCAGGCGTATGATCGTCATACCCCGCAGTGGTCAAAATATGGAAAACTTCTCACTCCTCAGCATCTCTGGACTTCGGATCTCTTCCTCTGCCTTGAGCACTTTTCCTGATATTACACCCTCACATGCCACCAGTTTACCAGGTAAACTTTAGTGTCACTAAGGCCGCAAAGATGTAGGGTTTTTAGGAAGCTTTTACTTAAGTACCCTACCAGGTCATGTTACAGGACCAAAATTTAGTGAGAAAGCCAAATTACACTGGGGAGAAAATAATTTTTCAAAATGCTACATTCCAGGTAAAAGTAATTCCTGCTGTTTAATAATTTTTTTGTCAGGAAAGAATAGGGGAAACATTTGTTGTCTAATTTTTCCCCTAGAACCTGAGTGAATTTCAAGGTGGTGAGCTGTCTACATAAAGAATAGGTATTTGTTTTAACTGATTTAAGAAGCTGGAGAAGATTGAGACTTATCTATCATCAGGTGGAGGCTAAGCAGCTGGGAACTGATAAGCCCATCATGGAATAAAGTTGGACACTGTGAGGACTTGCTATTCAAAGTGTGGGTCCCAGTCCTACATTAGCAACATCACACAGGAGCCTATTGCAAATGCAGAACTGGCCAGGCATGATGGTACATGCCTGCTATCTCAGTAACTGGGGAGGCTGAGACCAGAGGATCACAAACTTGAGGTCATCCTGAGCCATTTAATGAGACTCTGTTTCAAAAAAGAAAGAAAAAAAAATAGGGGTAGGGGAGAAAAGAAAAGAAAGGACTGGGGAGGCAGTGGTAGAGCACCCCTGGGTTCAATCTCAGTACTGCAAAGGAAGAAAGGTAGAGCTCAGACCCCCACCCCTGACTGACTGCATCAGAATCAGAATCTGCATTTTTAACAAGATCTCCAGGTGGTTCCTAAGCACATAAAAATTTGAGACAAACTTGATTAGTTCTCCTAAATATCCACTAATATACATGACATTTATAAATCTGTCACCCAAACTGAGCAAAGTTACTGCCCTAGGATTTGGGGCAGATCCACTTTTTCTCCAAGTGTTAGTAGCCATTCCAAAGCGTGCCATGAAGCAGAGGCCCATGTGACCCCATTCTGGCTGTGGGCATGAGATGTCTCAACCTAAAGAACCTGGCTTCCCATCCTCAACGGGACTATGCAACACAGCTATGTAGCCTGTGACCAGAGCTCACTCTCTGGATCCAGGGCACCCAGAGGCCTGCAACGTAGAGTGAAGTCACACATGATAAACTACAGGGGGGTCAGGTGCAGGGCAGGACGAGCCAGAGAGAGAAGTGTCATCTGAGCCACATCTTTTTAAATTTTTTTTTTCCTTGAAGTACTAGGGATTGAACCCAGGGACACTCTACTACTGAGCCACATCCCTCACCCCTTTTTAGTTTTTATTTTGAGACACGGTTTCACTAAGTTGCCAAGGCTGGCCTTAAGCTTACCATTCCCCTGCCTCAGCCTCCCAAGTTGCTGGGATTACGGGTGTACACCACTGTGTCCAGCTCTTAATGTACTCTTTCCAGAGGATCTTTCTTAGGTTTGAATAAAACTTCCCCATTTGGAATTTCCCAAGATGTCATCCAGAATAGCTATGCCTTTGGGGGTTTGAGAGATCACTGTTTGACTTCAGCTTTGAGATCCCTTGATGTACCAAAGGTATATCTTGGGGAGACTCAAGAAGGCGGCTCCCAACCTTGCTCAGCTCACCAGAGTGTTTCTTCTATAACCCAGATATTACAAAGGCAGCGGTACCCACTGAGGTTTCCAGCTCAGCTCAGGCCTTGCCATCCCAGTATCAAAGCAGTGCTCTCCGGCATGGGGTACATAATACAGTGCCTGTACCAGGTGAGGTCTTCTCCAACTCTGGGTGGGGCATGTGGGAAACTGAAGATGGACAGGGGCTGCTCCCCTAAGGGAAGGATGTCTGCAAGCTGGATCACCATGTGCTATACCTTCTATGTGTTCCTTTCTCCTTTAGTAGATACCCATAGCCTATGGAGGCCTCTTGCTTCTTCTCTCCAACTCTCAAGTTGGTGTGGATCAGTTCCTGTCTGAGTGAGTTGTTGAGGGATCAACACAGGCAGTGATTCTGGTAAAACGGTCACAAGAATAGGTGGCAAAAGAAGGGACTATAGGAGGTTAAGGTCCAGCTGTCTGTCTGCTGGGCTACCTGTCGAGGTCAGTCCTCAGAGAACAAAGTATCTCCAGGGAGAGAAGGACCTGACAGCAAGGTTTAGTTAGTGCCTGGACATCCAATAGCCATTTGTAACAGGAAAAAAAAAAAAAGCAGCAGGAAAAAAATCCCCTTATACTGCTCTTCCCACCCTGTTTCCCACCTGGTCTCAAGCTACCATCAAGGTGGAGAGTGGAAGTCACCCAAGGTCATGTCTGACGGCCTGTCATCTTGCCTTGCTGCTTCTCCTGAGGGCTTCCAGCTTCCTCAACTTGACTGTCCTCCTGCCTGCAGCCCAAGGCTCAGACTCAGCCCTTTCCTTTGCAGACTGCACCTTGGGGGACACCCAGAATGGGGAGCAGCTAAGGCGGAACTGCACCATCTACCGGCCCTGGTTCTCCCCTTACAGTTACTTTGTGTGCACGGATAAAGAGAGCCACCTGGAGGCCTTTGGCTTCCCAGAGGTGGAGAGGGATGAGGGCAGGGGAGACAACTGCCTTCCTGAGGACATGGCTGAGAGCATCTGCTCATCATCTTCCTCCCCAGAAAATACATGCCCCCGAGAGTCCACCAAGAAATCCAGGCATGGCTTGGACTCCACGGACTACATCACGTCCCAGGACATCCTAATGGTCTCCAGGTGGCAGCCGGCCCAGCAAAATGGCTACAAGTGTGCAGCCTGTTGCCGCATGTACCCTACCCTCGACTCCCTCAAGAGCCACATAAAGGGGGGCTTCAAAGAGGGCTTCAGCTGCAAGGTGTACTACCGTAAGCTCAAAACCCTCTGGGGCAAGGAGCAGAAGGCCCGGCAGGGGGACAGGCTCTCCTCAGGGAGCTGTCAGGCTTTCAAGTAGCCTGTCTAGACACCTCAGGTTCATAGGGGACAAAGCCTATTTATGTCTCTAGTGAGATGCCAATAAATCAAAGTTAGCCACAGTCTTCTGTCAAGTCTGAGGTCACTCTGTAGTCCATCCCAGTACAGTCAGTCCTCACCCCTTCTTCTAATGGTTGCCTAACAGCACAAGGCCCATTTCTCAGCCTGCCCTTCCTGCTCCTTTTAAATAAAGA